TGATCGCAGGCCGATCTGGGCCGTCGCCGGTAACGGTACCGGCCTGCGATTCAGGCCGTACGATAAGAAATAGCGATTCTTATAGTAGTGTAGATGTAGACAACGATGACATGTTGCATCATCTGAAAGCTTCTGTGGATTGTACCGTCTTGCTGTCTTTCTTTTTTTTTTTTTTCAATCTTGCTGTCTTTCTTGTTGCCAAAAGCAGGGATAAGAAAGATATACATCATGAGGAAGAGGAACCGGCACCCGCCATACATCACCAGGAAGTGGAAATAGCAGCCGCTGGTTCTGAGACTGTAGAAATACTGGCTGGAAAAGAGCAGAGCCATAAGATGGACGGGCTTGGATCAGCTGCAGTTGATGGTGCTGATTCCACTGCACGGCCAGCTGGTCGAAGAAAGAGGGGAAGGACCCTTAACAGCGGAAACCAAGATGATGACTACATTCCCAGCACCAATAATGCACGCAGCAGGTCGAACACGAAGGTAAGGCGGTATGCAAAAGCAGAAGAGACAGAAGTTGCTCGGAAATCCCGCAGTCGCCGGCGGGAGTTTGGGGCCGGAGCCGGAGGACTGGAATGTGCCGAAGAAGAAACAGGAGGAGCAAAAGAAGGTTCTCTTCTGACACAGAAACCTGGCGACGCTCCCTCGCACTGCTCGACTTTCAAAAGGGCGACGCAAACCGAATCGCTAGAAGTCCTGGGGGGAAGAAGAGTCACAGAAACCACTACAAACGCGATGGATGGGAAGACCGGCAGCGAGAGCTGGTGTGAAGAGGAGGCAGAAGAAGAGGACGATCCTGTGAGCATGATGATTGCAGGTCTAATGCCGAAAGAGTGGAAACCGAACCTGTCTCGAAGGAAGGATACCCCCCAAGCACTCACGCAACCGTCTCAAAGAAAATACACCAACGAAGCACTCTTTCTTACGACAACGGTCCTGCAGGGCAAGGAAAAGGAATCACCGCATGGTCTCGTTGTGCCTGGTTTTCAAAACCCTATGCCTAAAAGCCGTAGTCCAAAAGAACTGCGCGATCACTGCTTTGCACAACAGCAACCAGCGGCCAAGACAGCAGCTCAAATGTCAGACTTCTCACGCGAGGGTATAAATACTATAAAGTCAAAAGATCTTGATGATATCCCATCCTGGCGGCCAACAGATATGGAATGGCAAGACTCAGACTCTTCCGCGAGAGGATGTACAGAGGCGAGGCTAATGACGGTAAGCACAGGCAGAGTACGGCCCAGTGCTGCCAACACGAGCAGCATTCGGATGTGCTCTGGAAGAGAAATAGCTGGCCCTGAGGGAGTTAATGGTGCCCAACCTCTGAATCCAGTAAGTGGCGGAAGCAGTAAATTTACATGGAGCAAATCACCGGAGAGGAAAGAAGCAGCTTTAGGAGAAGCAGGAGTGCCAGCAAAAGAACCCCCAAAATTACGTGATGATTTCCGCAGTGGCGAAGGTGGTATTGCAGCTCGAGTGCCAGAACCGTCAAGGGAACATCCCAAATACCAGCATCTGGGAAGAACAACTGAAGGAGTTCCCGAGGCGGAGGCGGGACCAAGGATCGGGCTCAAGGCGGGGGCGGCACAAATTATCGGGCCCAAGAGGGTAAGCTGCCTGGCGATGGTAAAGGAACTCCTGGAGAGGGACAGGAAAATGCGCGGCACAGGCACAAATGTGTAGGAAGGTTCTAGCTCAATTGGTACACCCATGACATGTTGAAGTATAGAGCTGAGTTCGAATTCCAGTGGAATCAGATGAGTGAAAACAAATCTAAATTTACCTGGGGCAGATCAGCCTCAAAGATGATATCTGAAGGCTGTCGTCCTTTTAAAAGAAGAAAGGGTGTATGAAGGTTAGATAAGAGCAGCGTATTGAAAGTTAAGACCATTGCAGAGAAGCAGGGAGGAGAGGTGGGGGGGGAAGGGGGGTTAATTCCACCCTTCATTATGCCAATGGAAAGAGAGGAAGAATGGGTGTAAAACCTCTAAGGTAATGTCCCAGGTGTGGAACGCATATTACCAGACGCGGAAGGAATTTCACTGGGTCCTTCCGTCACCCCATCAGGGAGCTGGACTGGCCCCAAATGATGTTCCAAGTGCAGACGAGGGGGGTTGTCCTGAAAAAAAAAGGCTTTCCAGACATGAACAAGGGGTGACCAATTGGTTGTCGCAACTTGTCGTCCATGTCAGCATCCTACCCACACTGATGGACCAGTTGTGTCTAAAACAGTAACGACTCAAACATGTTGAAAAATATACTTGATGTCTTCCACCTTGAACTCTTGGGGAACTTTCAAAAAAAAAAAAAAAAAAAAAAAAAAAAACACTCTTAGGGAACCTAAACAACTTGAAACAAGCATAGCAATGCAATCTCTCCACTTGTCAGACATGTCGGATACACCGTATGCCATCCGTCTTAAATGTTTTGGGGGAGATGAACCAGTGTAATCAGTTGCTCGGAGGGGCCATGCAAGACCTACCCCCAGCATAGGAAATTGACAAATTGTGCTTACCCCTTCTTAGATGTGTTCAATCGGGGGACTCACTCCTGTCTGATCTCAGATGTCTAAATATTAAATAATAAACTATTTTGGTTTCCGTAACTTTTCTTCAACCTTCACCTGTACTAGACTACCAGCCGGGCCGCCCGGGTCATTCTTAAACCAAAGGGTGGCATGGCCGTGCAAGGACAACAGAAGATCCCAGCCAAAAAGAAAAAAAAAAAAAAAAAAAAAAAAAAAACTGGAATTTGTTTTTGTTTTTTATAAATGGTATGCAGAAAAATGAAGTTTAAACTGAACAACTTTTGCCTCAGGGCCACATCGAAATTCTTTACCAAATGTAAAATAACAGGGTGGGGCCACCTCCCAACCCATCCTCACGTTGATACTCCTAGCGCACCCCCTATCCCTACTATCCTACCTCAGTGTGGCCAGCACTCAGGATGATCACCCTACCAGTATCGAGGGCAACTTGGACGGAATAGTAGTGACAGGCACCAGGGCTGGGCAGTACCCAGCCCTAGTGGAAGTGGGAGCGGACGAACCTGCCGTACGCGAACTTCGAACCCCAGGCTCATGCAATCTTCTACAGGCCCCAGTAGTCCGCTTAAAGGGCCGCATGAATGTACTGGTCCTTTAAAATTGTAGTAGTTTACTCTGCTGCTTCCGATGGAGTTTGAACTCTGGTCTGCTGCAGTTCAACAATTCAGGAGTGTATCAACTGGCCTATTTCAGTTGGTACACACCTGAACTGTTGAAATGACTAGGTTGGTCAGACGAGGGAATTCTGTATCAACTCCCGTCTTCCTTTTCGTGATGGATTCAATAGCAGCCTTCCTGAGAAAGGATGCCTCAGTAGAGAGGCTTTAGGCCGTAAAGGATGGAAATGCTAGAAGAATCCACATACCTACAGTCCTGCGCTTTCGCAGACGACCTGACGGTAAGAATCAGGGCTTTGGAAACATCCTTCCGAGCCCTTACAAGAGCAATATGTGCCTTTGATTCGAAGAAAGCGGTGGGTTGGTGGAATGCTGAAATACCTCCTCCCCCAGCAACACTAGAAACACAGCGCCTCCCCCAGCAACACTAGAAACACAGCGCCTCCCCCAGCAACACTAGAAACACAGCGCCTCCCCCAGCAACACTAGAAACACAGCGCCTCCCATGGTAACCCCGGCCCCAGGATCCCTTCAGACTTTAAGCCTTTAAAGTTTAAACCACCAGTGCTTGGCCCTATAAATCGGCCGCGGGGTGTTGTCGTTAACGAGCTGTCTGGGGAGTAGTCCAGGCAGCCCCCTTTTTAAGGCTCAGCATCGATAGCTGGGCCAAGTACTGGTGGTTTAAGGCGTATCGCAGTCAGCATGCCGGGTACTAGTGACGGGCCTGACGGCAGCCAATTTGTTAGCAGCAGCAATGAACGAGTATGTAGGATCTGATGCGCCCCATGAATTTGGAGCTTGTGTTCCCAAAAAAAGGAAAAAAAGAAAAAAAAGAACAACAGTATGTAGGATGACGGAGAATCTATGCATCGCTAATAGGAAGAGCACTGGTTATGAACTCATCTATCATGTCGATGGTCTAGTATACAGCCTCAGTCTGGGACACCCTGGGATGGACTTCACTAAGGCATTACTTGTGGACTGGAAATGTGTCTAATAGTCGATTCATTAAAAAAGTGCCCTGAAGATAAATCAGACACCCGGCAAGCAAAGCAGCACTCGGCCTAATGCAACAGACCATGGAACACTTGGCTTACAGATTCTTTTCTTTTTCTGTGTGAACATGGCTTACAAAGTAAAGTGGGTTCCAAGACTTCTGCGGAAAAAGGATCCCCCATGGCAGAAGATGGCCCCCTACCAAAGCAGGAACCTGGGGCCCTTTAGAGCCCCCGAGGAAATAGGACATCTTTAGATAATGAACAAATGTTGGTCCCCGAGAACTGCGTGGAATGGGGATAAACATGGGCCGCGGGGCCACGCCAACCCAAGAAAGACCCCCAACTAAAGACCCTAAACTCATAACAACCTGGAGAGAAACTTTCACGGAGAGGAGGACATCTAAAAGTAACGATGAACAAATTTTGGTCCATGAGAACTGAGTGGAATGGGGATAAACATGGGGCGCGCCAACTGGAAAAAGACCCCCAACCACCAACGGGCCTAGCTCAGTCGGTACACGCATGAACTGCTGAAATACAAACCCAAGTTTGAATCCAGATGCAGTCAGATTGACAAAATTACATATTGCTGAATTACCTAGGGGCGGTCAGTTCAATGATGATATCTCACCAAGCCCTGGTCTAAACTCGTCACAACCTGGAGAGAGGCTTTCACTGAGAGAAGGACATCTTTAGTAGACAATGAAGAAATGTTGGTCGTCGAAAACTGAGTGGAATCATGGAATGGGGATGAAGTTTAATAAACATGGGGCGCACCAACCGAAAAAAGACCCCCAACCAAGCATTATCCTCTGGTCTCCAGAGTAAGCAATGCTGGCAGGCACCTCCCAGACATCTTCCAGTTACCTTTCTATGTATCATATTGTATCATACTGTGTAAGGGACGCTGGACCCGTTTTCCACCAGGTGACGCTCCCCACCAATAGATGGAGCCCCTCCCCAAGTGCTAGCGATGTCTGCTTTCAACAGCATCACTAGCACTGGAGGGACTGTTTTTTCTATAAAAAAAAAAAAAAAAAAAAAAAAAAAAAAGGCTTTCCTGGAGAGGTCGAGGGATCCCAGATACAAAAGAGGAAGTTCTCAGATGATACTTTTTTTGGAAATGATCTTTTTTTTTTTTTTTTTTTTTTTGAAATGACCTATTTACAGATCATGCGAATCGACCATGGACACTACTACCGTCGTGACTCGAGTAAAACGCCTGGTCATCATAGCTGTATCTGGACTGAAAATTGCACAAGTATGGCTATAGTGACCGGGCGGTCTATTCAGGTGAAGACGGTAGGCAGAGATAAAAGATGGAGGGTGTCAACAGAGAATGGTATATGGATAAAGTAAACCAGAGATGGAAAACAGAAAGGGAATTAAAAATACATCTGAAGGGCCATCACAACTTAGAAAAGTCTAGAGGATGGATGTTTTAGACCGTATATACCATTGGCATAGAGAGTTCTTAAAAAGGAGTAGCCAATGGGAGAACTACCACTCAGGCATGATCCTCCCAGGTCACCTTACCTATGTGTCACATGATGAGTTGGTGGGTGCTCACAAACTGAAGGTGGATGGAACAGCATACAAACTCAGTTTCAAACGGTGGATGTCACAAAAAGAATTGGAAAAATCGAAAGAAGAGGAATCGATCAGCAAAATATGGGTAATGGCATTGAGGGTTCCTATCAAAGCGGTCCCTTTTGTCAGGTCGGGCCTCGATTTCGCGGTTGGGAAGGTTTTTGAAACAATACCCTCCAGAAAGGTATGAGGATATGCCAAAGCTAAACAATTTAACAATGTGAAATTTGGCATTCCTCTCAACAGGATAAAAAAAAAAAAAAGAGAGAAACCGCGTGCCTAACGATCTTCAGTGGCCACAGATGGACGGGTCGCTGTACGAAATCAGGATTGTAACTCAGTTCACTGACTACTGCCAAAACTGTAGGGACTATGCAGGGCATTCGACAGAATATTGTCCTGAAACAGCTGGCGATCACCCTTTTGAATTTAAGATAAATACAAGAGAGCAGACTTTCCCATCAGAAAATCAGCAGACTCAAGGGGGAAGAAGGAGGGGTTCAGGGCCCACCTCGCTTCAGACAATTACCAGCAAGGTTGGCCTACGGGCAGGAGCTTTCAGCTTGGATGAGATCGCCCCCCCTTAGGCAGTCTGCTGAGAGGAGGAGGTCAGGGGGCTACACATACCCCCAGCCTTGGTACTGACAATCAGGGCTTAAACCACCAGTACTTGGGCGACGCCTTAGCGGCAACGCTACGAGAATTTCGCTACCGGCGGGCCGTCGATAAATCGTATCGACAGCCCGCGCCGCTTCAAAAAAGGTGCGGCTGGCGCGGCGCGCAGTGCCCAAGTACTGGTGGTTTAAAAGGTCCCAGGGTTTAACTTTTGAGGCCAAAATGAGTCATTCCTAAAAGTTGGGGGACTTGCCCAGGGTGGGGCCTGGGGGCGGGCGGATTTTTTTTTTGTCCCACACGTCAGGGTTGGCACTGGTGCTACACGGGACAAAAAGAGATTTCCGCCTGCCGCCAGGCCCGCCCTGGGCCAAGTCCCCTAACTATTAGGAAAGACTCGTTTTGGCCTGAAAAGTTGGCCTGG